AAGAGTAGTTGTGTGGGGAAGCAGCATTACTGTTTGAAAGCTGGCAAGGAGTTTGATATGGATTCTCCTGCACACGGTCTAGCAAATCCAAATCCAATGTCACTGGCATCCAGACCTGTCACCACGAGTGCACAAAATAAATAATCACATATAAAATGCTCTGCAAAAATTAGCAATACTGTAAATACTGGGGCTCTGTCCAGAAACTTTTTGCAACTACTTTGTTGTAACCTGTAAAGGAATAAATTGTTAAAGGAGGCCGTCGGATACGTATTATGTAAACAAATCGCACTGTCTTCGTGCTCATACCTCTGCCCATCAATACCAGTTACTGAAAGAAGGTCTCGACGCATTCATTGTTATTGGAGACGTATACCGCCGTGACGAAGTTGATCGCACTCATTATCCTTGTTTCCACCAGGTATGAGTGTTCACTTTTCTCTATTGACCTTTATTGCGTGTGATACGGCACTCATTTACGAGAGATGCTGCATTTTGCGGAGACGGGCAAGGGATCGCAGTTTGCCCTTTGCCGCGCGCGGCGATGGGCGCGGCGTTTTCTTAATTCGTGTTAACCTGTCGATTGGAGCACCGGATTCACACGTGGGCTACGAAACTGTAGATATTCATGACCATTTTCGGTTCGTACTACATTGCTGTTGTCGCCATCTGCGACTTGGAACCATCGTCATTTGCGGGCGCGACGTCGCACGCGACGCCCATCAGCGCGGTGAATTACGATTCTCTTGCTACACACCCTGTATTTTGCGCATAAGTGGAGCACGTGAATTTCTGGTTTTACGCAAAATCGCATTTGCACGGGGTGCGTGCATTTGCGGAATGGTGCAGGGGTTTGCTGTTGCCGCCAACCGGAAGTTGTTGGTTGCTCTCACTCTAGATTTCCATGGACAGGTGCTGCTTCAGAATCAGTGCTCTTTTCTAGCTAGATCAAAGGTTAGTTCTGACACTGGCGCGGCTGTGGCCCCTTAGACATGTTGTATGCTTCATTCGCGTATTAGTTCGTGTCTTCTTTGAGAGGCACATTAGACTAGAAAGAGGCACTTCACAACTTCGCAAATTATTTTTTTTCCTAACTAGCTTTAACTGCTATAACTAACAGGCCTAATTTGGGTAAAACCTGTAACCTGCACGCGCTTAGTTGAGAAGCATTCCATGCTCCACCAATTGCGCCGTCCAGGAATGCAACTGAGAATGCCAAGTCGAAATTGAGTGTTTTTGGGTTGCATTTTTTAGTTGTGTATGGAACTCGTGCAGTAAAAAAGTTCAACTTTGTCATGCAGAGCCTGGCTATTCAGGTGGAAGGCGTTCGGCTTTTCTCTCCGCACCAACTATTCAATTCTCCACCTGGAGCTGAAGTGGCTGTCTTTGAAAGGTCCGAGAGGACGCCAACCAAACAAGAGAAGCATACCGAGGACGCTGCTAAAGCACTTGAAATCCAGTTGAAAACTACTTTAGAAGTAAGGTTTTTGCAATCCAGCACTTGCTCTTTGTGTTTTCTCTGCCTGCTACCTACTTCATTTGCTCTTAGGATCTCAGTGATGCGCTCTTTGGAAGTGAATGTGAAAAGCGATGGGTGGACGCGTATTTCCCGTTCACACATCCTTCTTTTGAACTTGAGGTGTGTTCTCCACTTTCTTTGATCTGCATTTTTGCTTTACTACTACTGTTACCATTGGTATTACATTTCGCGAGTCCGAAGATTCACGGTTCCCGGAGAATCTGCGAGAAGGATTATATACAAATCACACTGACCATTTCCACACTTGCACGTAGTCCAGTTAATCGATCCCTATAGGGTCCTTTTCACGGTACTTGAAATTCCGCGATTCTTCGATTTTCTCAATCCCTCAGTTCTCACATCCTGCTTGTGCATGCGCAAGTACAGGCGGAAGTCGCGTTTGGTAACCAGCCTAAGATCGATTACTCATTCTTAGCAAAGCAAGCCTAGATAAGGCACCCATTTCGAGGGAAAGCTGTGTTAGGGATGCACTTAGTAACCTCTAAAAACCAAATCTACCCATCCGGAGTCTTTTTTTTGAGTACGATTCTTTCCCGGGTACTGAATTGACGCCATTTTCACACAGGTGTTTTATGAAGGAAAGTGGCTAGAAGTGCTCGGTTGTGGCATAATGGAGCAGCAATTATTGGAATCTGCTGGCGCTGGAGATAAGGTTGGTTGGGCGTTCGGTCTTGGACTGGAGCGACTTGCCATGATACTATACGGGATTCCAGATATACGGTAAGTTCCTAACTCTTTATGACTGGAATTTCAGTGCCGAAATGTCAGTACTTTTTACTTGTAGGTTGTTTTGGTCCACAGACTCAGGGTTCCTGTCGCAATTCGCTGACAAACTACCCACCGACAAGATCAAATACAAGCCGATTTCTGTACATCCTCAGGTTTCTAGTGGACTTTTTATCTTCTTTGCACACCTTTATGTCCTTATAACTCAATTTGGTTGTGCAGAAGCCTTATTGCTACAACTACATGAGCTCTATTCCAGGTTCTATTCGACATGTCGTTCTTTTTGCCAGAGGGAGTAGTTTATCATGATATGACAGCCAATGTGTATGATACTGTAAGAAATGTTGGTGGTGATTTGGTGGAACAGGTGGGTTGGATTAGGATTACTGTATGAGTAAATTAACTTGTAAGCTTTGGCGAGGGAGGCATTACAGGCGAAGCCATTCGCACCGGGTCCCAAGTCTCGGGCCCCACGTGGCAGGGTGTAACCCATGTTAGGTCGTATAGCTATACTCTATTTTGCTGCGTATGAACAGGCGTGTCAGGAGTATGAGTGTACCACGGCAGAAAACCAGTGATACAAAAATATGATACAGTATTGTCACTTGCTCGCTTCAAGCTGGTGAAGAACGGATTCGGCACCGCGCTGAACTCATCCCGCCTGCAACGCCCCTTCTTTCGCAGCGAACTACACTATAGGGAACACTCTGCTAGTACTGGCGCGATACCATGCTCGAGCTCGAGTGTCGTGAATCATACTCCTCCCTGTTCTTCATCACTCTTTTCTGTAGTCCTAGCTGAGAACTCATTTATTAGAAGCTACGTAGTCTTGATATTGTTTGTTTGTTGAGTGTTTCCCCTGTGTTTCTTGGCTAAAACACTGAATTTTCTCCTCCACGGTTTGCTTTAATGGTTGTCGTTTCAGGTGATCCTTACTGATGAGTTCACCAATAAGAAGAATCGTAAAAGTCAAACTTATCGGGTCGTCTATCGGAGTAATTCAAAAGCGCTCACAAAGGAGGAAGTTAATGTAGTACATAAGCAGATCACAGATCAATTATCAGAGCTTTACGGTGTTATTTTGCGATAGCTGTTAGACTGTTCACGGTTCGAAACCAGTTGTTTGTTTACATTGTTATGTCCCAATAGTAACGCGCTTAGTTACACAATTAAAGGAAATAAATCCAGAGATAGAATACAGTTGAAGATCAATGTATCAAGATCCTTTGTTGGATCGTGCTTGTCCAGGTCCGAAGTATGACTGATAAGTAGCAGGAGGTCAGAAGCCGAACTGGACTACGTCTTGACAATGCGCCTACGCTATTGAGAAAATAGGTTGTCTTTTGACAAGGCACTGTTTAAAGCGCAGTGGAGAATCGTCGACATGGGAAGTGTGAATGCGACCTCAACTAGCCAGACCATACGGTAAACGCAAGATGGCGTCTCCTCGACTAATATAAAGGCTAAGGGAGTAGGGTTATTACGTCTCGCAGGACGAAATTCCGTCAACCTGAGCAGACGCTGCATAGCGCCTTTTCCAAAAAAGGTACCCTGATAAGGCTTTGTCAAGCTGCAATATACCGACCCGGACGCACACCGCGCCCGCCCGCCTACAAATGGACGACCGTCCTGATGCCTGGTTCATTTGTTAAGTAAAATATTAAGCGAAGGGATTGATATGAAGGGCTGCGATGCTGCAGGGCTAAATGAGTACATAGGTGCAGCCGCACCTACCGTAGCGGTTATTGGCAAGATGTCTAGGAAATTCGTCCGAACTCGCTTTTCGAGTCATTAGGAACGGAGACTTCTCTTCGCAGGTTTTACCGTTTCACTATGTTTTTTTCGCCATTTTCCCGCTACACAGGGGGAGGGGTGGCAAGAAAAAAAGACGCTTCGACCGTGTTACATATCAGCAAAATTTTCGTAGCCCAGACAGAGGACGTGGATACGAAGATACCCAAGATGTTCCTCTATAAGCAGGAGCTGGCTCTCGCCCATCACCTTCATGTACACCAAAATATGAAGTCATCTCCAGTCGCAGCCTGACTGGAGAAGACCTTTGGAATTCATGTCACCTCCAAACAGCTGCGAAACTTCTAGTGTGGAGCCACCTATGGATCCTGTGGAGTTACCTGGAGACCAGTGCTCTTGATCTGAAAGACCCCCAACATCGAGCAGCTCCGGCAACGTCGCTACGGTCTAGGACATCATCTCCACCACAGTCGCCAAGGCGCGGGCTGATGGTATGGACCGGACGTACCTGGAATGGAAAGACCGATATTTTTCGTGGACCCCGGACTGAAGGTGAGCGCTGGCGGTTACATCGAGCAACTCGAGAAGAATATCCTCCCACATGTCGTCGCCCGTACCTTCTTGGAAACTTTGTACTGCTACAGGATTGGGTGACACCACATGAACGTCGTCCGTACATTCCTTCTTATGAAATCGAAGGGCGTTGGAAAAACTCTCGCCTACTTGGAATGGAAGGGCGTTGAGTACCTGAAGAAGATGGAATATCTAAGCAGGTCACCTGACCTAAACCCCCTCAATTACCTGGTTCAATAGGGTGGTCTACAGTGGCGGAGAAATCAACGATCTCGCTGAACTCAGGCACCGAACCATGGTTGCGTGGCAGAATCTCTCGATGGCGGTGGTCCAGAAGGCTGTGGCGGAGTATCATGATAGTATTTAATATGCTCTTCAATATGGTGGTAAAAATGTCCGATCAGAATTTCAATAAAGTGTAACTTATAGCGCCTCGAAAGTCAAGGAAGAAAAGTGTTTTTTTTTGGCCGCCCTGTATATCACCTTGTTAGCATTTTAGAGTACCAAATTATCGTGCCAACTGCTTTTCATTGAAGAGAAAAGAAGTTCGAAAGAAACATAGGGCACTAAAATGCATACTAAGCTACGTATCGGAGTTAGTGAAGTTGAGCAGCACTCAGGACACATCATGACAATGGGGAAAATGTCCATGGCAGGAGGACATTGCCCTCTCTCCCCATACCTGAAGTGGGGATATCTTCTGATCAGTGAAGTATGCAAATGAAAAATATGGCTCCGACACAACGAGTCATAATCGTGATGGTAAAATGACTAGAGGCTAGTTTAGGGGACGTCTTATACCTGTTTTCTCCCAGGGGGCAAGCAGAAGACCGATGTCCATAGGGAGTGACTGGGAGCCATTACCACACAATGTGCATGAAAATAGGGTATTTGTACTCTGTAAGGGAACAACCTACAGGTATGAGTGAATGGTACCTGGAGGGAAAAGCCCTTGCGTGCTAGGCCGTGCACATGTATTTTCACGCCGAATGAGTGTGATTGCTTGTTCTGGGAGTCAGCTTAGCTCTGGTTACAAAGCCTCATCTGAATTTGAACAGAATCAGAAAAAAGGGGCAGTCAGTAGTCATATATGAAAGTGCAGTCATGTGTAAAGATGGAAATGTGTGGAAATTCTCACAAAGTGCTTCAGCACCTGCTGCATTCGAAATTGCCCTTGCTTCATTTTATTTCAGCGCTTCCTTCTTGTCATAGTCATCGGTGCTTTCAAGAATATTGGACTGTACAGTCTGCGAGATTCCATAGTTACTGCTGCGTCTTTTTTACATACTCTTCAACAGTCGAGCCACGAAGCTGAGTTGGACTTGAACTCGTCAACAGCCGAAAATTTCGTTGAATTTCACCAACCCGTTTCAGATTTGCTTCTTTTCTAATCAGATCAGATTACTCGTCTGATCAGCTGCTCTGATGTTTCTGTTGCTGTGACATTATTCTTTTGTCGCCGAGTAATATCCCTACAAATGTGGAAATGCAACTCGAATACCGCGGTCCATTTACTGAAAACCGTATATCCGTAGCTCAAGGTTGGCGCTATGTTGTCCTAGAACTTTTCGCCCAGCAGGCAGCAGGGGAATTTCGTTCAGTGCGTCCGGGCAGATCATCATCGTTCAGTTTGTCGTCGACTTGAGGCGAATTGGCAATAGCAAGTCAACCAACACGTC